TCATCGTCAGGGTACATATAGGCATTACATTTAGACTGACTTAGCCAGAGTAAGGTTGATCTAAATGCCTAATTGTGCAGGCATTTGGAGGGTTTAAATCACCCCAAAATGGCATGCTTGATGTAAGTTAGTTTACCTGAGTTGGTGCACTTACTTAGATCAAGATCAGGTTAACCCAATATAAGCTAACTTCCTGTCCATGGCAGGGGACTGGATTTGATGATCTTGCAGGTCCCTTCCAGTCCTCTGATTCTATGATTCTAAGAAAGGGTTAACCCATTTTCCCAAATGCCTACACATGTTCTCATGTAGCCCTGGGGCTGGGAAAGCCCAGATGCTCACCTCACCTCCAGGGCTGCTCCTTTTCCACCCCCTGACCCTGACTGGGCTTTTTTTAACTCCCAGAACCCTTACCTGACTGGCAACCACTACCCTTCCTCTGTGGACCCACCAACCCCTCTGCAGACCTGTAAGCCCCCCTGATCATGCCCATGATCAGGAAAGACATGCTGCTCATTCATAAATGGCTACTATTGCTGAATATTGTCAACTTTACTGAGGAATGCAATGAATTAAACATTCCTGAGAAGCCCCATTGCATTCAATGAGCACTCTGGAAGATATGCATTTTGCGCACATACATTTTGTACATTGTATAAAGCAGGAGATGAAGCACCCCAAAGACCATGGCCTCATTCACTGTCCCTTACAGTATTAGCCTCCTATGAGATAGACAGGATGTACCTAACGTGTTTAACTGCACAGTAGACTAATTTGCTGTGGTGTAAAGTGTCACAGTCTACACGTGCAACGCTATTACACTGCAGCAAACTAATTTTTGCTGCTGTAAGACAGTGCTGTCAGGAACAGTACTATCTTACAGTGGTGAAAATAACTTTGCCTAAATGCATGTGTAAATGATGACCAAGGTATAAATTATGCCCAGTCAGGCCAGGCAGCGGGGGGCCAGGCCCCTACCTGCTGACTAGCCACATGGCTCCCTTGTGACTCAGCCAGCCCCTCTGCCAACTGACACTGCAACCCAAAGCCTTGGGCTGACCCCCCCACCCCGAGTCTGTTGCCAGGCCAGGGCTATTCTGCCCCAGCTCAAAATGCTCCGGCCCTGGAAAGACGTGTTCATACACTGAGTCCAGGAGCAGCTGACTGGTGCAAACTGCACCAGAGTTTATTGAGGGGCATTAACTGAACATGTGAATAAGGGAGTGAGGAGGTCATCAGCTGACCCATTTCCTTTCAAATTATTCCCACATTTTTCCCCAGACCTTACAGTAAAGGCAACCCAAATACTTGTACTGCAAATAGGGGTTTCCGGCACTATTTTATTTATTTATTTATTTATTTAACTACAGCTCTAGGTGCAAATCCACCACTTTTGGTAGTTATCCCATAAGTTAAAACTTCACTACACACAGGACTGCCATTAAATAAACCTATTTCAGCCCACACTTCTTCAGCACTCTTAAAAATAAAGGAAAAAAATAGGCTTTGCAGCCTGCTCAGAAGATTAACTAAACTTTCCTTCGGTGGACCAACAGGGAGTCACTAGCATGTGTTTTTCTGTCAGAGAAAATAAGCCAATACTCTTGCAGTGACCTTGCAGTACATTTCCACAATCATATCAATGCCCCCATAGCAGGGCCCAATTACAGTAATAAACAAGAAAACTGACCAAAGCTGTTTTGAATATAATCACATCTATGGGTAGGATATTACCGCAGGTGTTCTCATTTAATCTAAACTAATACTGATTATGCAAGTTTCTAATTGCATAATTTTTCTATATATTTGAATACAATGTATGGCATGTAAATAGAATTATATATGTTTCTACCCATATTTTCAGATGCATTTAACCCAGTTTATAGTAGTCTAATTTTGGTCTTCCCACACACAAGGGAATTATTCTAATAGAGCTTATTGAACTTCTCCTGCAGTTTTCTCTAAGATGTACCATGCACATCAAGGGAATATATCCAAAGCTCACAAATATATCTGAAGCTCACAGATACACTGTTTGCAAACCCTGATGCCATACATATGTAGCCCTGTGATGACTACAGGTGCCAAAACCCAGGGGCAGACAATAGAAGGAGAGAAAGACTGAGCAGAGTTTGCCACTTGAATCTCCATTTGCGTCCCTTGTGTTTTTGTTTACAAAATCTGAATCCAAGTGAACCAGTAGTCAGCATTAGCACATCTTACAAATCACACAGAGAGATACATATCTATAGCTCTAATAATTCTGAAGCACATCAAATTATGTGCAGGAGTGACATCATGCAGTGTTAAGATTGCGCATTTCATTGCACAAAATTCAATGAAGACTGGCTTTCTGGTCTGCATATGGATGAACACTTATATCCCCCTAATATACTCTTGTTGTAGGAGACAAAGATAGCTGTTGTGATTCACCAGAGGATACTACTGGAGGAAATTAGACAATAACTCTGTGGCACAGAATTAACAAGAAACTTAAAATTAATCAGATGCATGTTTTGATGTACTTCATTCACTTTTCAAACCAGTTGGAATAGTAGTAAATACAGCATGCACACAGCAACTGCAAAGTGAGCTTATCTAACAGATTCAGACAGAAGCCAGGGTAGATTTGTACCTTACAGACTAACTGAAAAAGAGTGGCACATGCTATCTCAAACGCAGCTCACTTCTCCATTTAGTCTATAAAGTGCACATCTACCTGCCTTTTGTCTAACTTCAGACTAAGACAGCTAACTATATCCCTTTATACATTCAACTTACCATGAGAAATGGTGAAAGGAGAGCAATAAATGGCGCATATTTAATCACATGCACATAATAGATATATTCAACAAAAACAGAAGTAGCAGCCAACTAGGGTTATAAACATGAGTTACTGAAACCAAGTGAACCACCTTGGGTTCCTATACGCATGCAGGGAGGCTGCTCCAATGCACTGTAATTACAGCGCATTGAAGCAGACTCAATTAGCTGGTCTGCAGGAGCATGGTAATTACCTTGCTCCAGCAGACCCAAGTGTCACATGTATCAGCATCCCTGCACTGAAAAATGGTGGTGGGGATACTTTAACTAAAGCTCGTTCAACAAGCATGCTAATTAAAGCACCTTCCCTCCCCACCACCCCCGCCTGAAGCACTTCTATACATGTCCCTTGTTTTAAAAATGCCTTTGCAATCCATATCACGTACCTTTTACATATTGTCTTGACATGTAAAAGGGCCTTAACTCAGCCTCTTATTGTGCACACACAGCCTCTGTGGCTGTGAACATAGATGTTCAAATAAAATGGTCTCAACAAGATCACAATATTACCCTTTACTTCTGTGATAGCATTTAATGCACACACATGTGGGGCACCTAGTCAGATTTCAGGTGCAACAAAGTAACATTAGCTGGTGAAAGTCAAGTTTTTATTAATAAATATACTAAATTAAATATCTCAAAGGATTTTATGGAAATATTACGGATACAGGTACTTTGGAATTAACTATTAAAAACTGCAAATATAAAGATGGCCACAAAAATGATCAATATCCTTCTAAAAGAACAGCAATTACTAATTGGGAGTTTGGGCATTCCCTTGCTTATAGGAGTTTTTAATTTTCAACATAATACGCCCATTTTCTACATGCAATGAAATGGATCCTTTGTTAGTTTGAAGCCATTACAGAATCATATTAAACATTTCAATGGTTGTGTCTCTAGGACAGATAGCACCCTGAAATAAGAAAGCTAACTGTAGAATCATTTTACTTAGCCATTAAACAATTATTTTCATGTTCTTTTACAGCTAAAAGCCCTACCATTTCTCTTACAAAGTTTAAAATATCTACTATTTATTTCTGGTGGCTGAGACTCTCAACATGACTGTTACAACAAGGGATCTAATTAAAGTAATCTTTTTTGTAACTTGATTGTCTGTTGTTTTCCTCCAACTCTAACATGATTTGAATCTGAAGAACATTCAGCACATGGGGTCTATGTAACCTGAAACAATTTTCTACCTTAATAACTACACTGCAGCATTTGAAAATTGGCAATTATTCATTTTGCCATGAGCTAGTAACTAAATGACTAAAATTCACATCTGTGAAGAATGGTATAGTAAATCATAGATTAGCAATCTCAGGCTCTCTCAGTGAAAACATTTTCCCTTGTTTACATCTAGCACAAGGCTAACATTCAATACGACCCTTCCCTTCTCCACTGTACAAATTTTATGTGAATTCTAATCAATTTCATCTTTGGAAAGAAAGTGTTCTAAAAGGTGAAGAACTAATAATGGAATAAAAATGTCATTCAATGAGGCCTAGATAGTAAAACACAAATCTTTCTATGAACATATATACAGAACATATTTCTATATAATTTAATAGGATAGAGCAGGATTACATAACATCACAGCCTATAAGAGCTGTGAATACAACTTTTATGTCCCCAGTAAAAACAGTCTTTGGGGTATGTTTCTATAAAATGATTATTTTGAACTGAATTCTCATGAAAGTATGCCCTCCTGGTAAGGACTTTCTATAGCTCCCATAAACCTGGGAGAATTCTTTCCAGCTGGCCTGTTCCATCCAGCATCTTGACAGGTGACGCAAGTGGGAAAGGTCTTTGGTGTGGAGTGTGGAGAGGGACTGACATGAATGAGGAAGAGCCTGAGTGAAATCTATAGCATGAGGGTAAAGGGAAGTTTATTATGAACCACTGAATAATGCTTTAAAAGAGGTACAATTCAGCATAAAAATGTATACAAATTGAACTAGATATAATTTATGTATGTGAAACTATTCTAAGTGAAATTAACTGCCATGCTACTATACATTTTCAGCTTTTTCCACTTTTTAAGCATACATTTCTCCAGAACTTTTACAAATTCAGTTTTTCAGTGGTTTTACCCATAGCTTGCACCACAAAAGCATTGAGCAAACAAAACAGACATTTAACAGTTTAGAATTTTAAATGCTATTAGTCCATACCTGAGCAATGGCTGTTTTGGGTAAGAAGGTTGGTCACTGTTTGGGCATGGCTGTGGTTTTTTTGTGACTTGCTTATAAATATTCCTTGCAGTTACTCCAAGCCATAACATAGTGGAGAGTGTAGAATAATGCAGTACTACACCAACCTAAAACAAGAGGGTGACAGTTACATAAATCAGCAAATAAGCTATAACACAAGACTTTAATGATGCAAGCCTATTGTACAAATGTACAAATATAACAGAATTATTTTATTCTAAATGAATTGGATTTTTGATTGCCTCAACATTTTTGCATCTCTCTGGTTACTTCTAATCAGTGCAAGAGAATGAAAATGATTTAAAAAGCAGGTGGCATCTCTTACTTAAAACCAATGACTAAATTATAATTGGTAATATCTGTGATACTAAGTAGGATGTTATGAGATCAAGAATACAAAATACTTGTTTTCTGAGAATATGGTATGACATGTCTGAATTTAAGTTTGTGGGACGTTTTACTTAATTTTTAAAATTTTGTTAGCAGGAGTGTAACAAGTGGACCATCCCAGGACTGGTCCACATGTTGGCTCGCCCACCTGCCTTTCCTGCCATGCCTTTGTTGTAACTAAAGATGTTCCTAGGTGGGAGGCTGCCCATTTAATTGCTCTGATGCCAAAGACAGAATACATGGCTCAGAACTTCTCTTTATATTGTGTCCCATGCCTCGCAGATGGCATCCACATCCACTAATACTCCCCTGGCCCCTTAGCTGGGCTGCATTAGGCCTCACCTAGTCCAAACTTGGCCTCAGGCATCCTCAGACCTACTTCAGAATCATGCCTCCCTCACGGGCTTGTTTCCATACCATCTAATTGGGCCTTCAATACCCTACCCTTCACTAGGGCCTTAACACCTGACTCCCTCACTGGGCTTCTACACTGTCCTTCACTGGGATGCTGGGCTTAATACCTGTTGGGCCTCAGGCCCCACTCAGTGAGCCCTGGCCCTGTGCTTTTCTGGTGGGATGTGCTCCCCTACACTTTCCCCCCCACAGGGTCACCCACAAGGCAGCAGGGGCTGAGGATTTCCAGCACCCCGTACATGCCTTTCACTGGGGAGGCAGAGGGGTGGCATTTCCTGGAGACTGCCCTGTGACAGACAGCCCACCACACCATCCTCCCCAACAGGGTGCAGTTTAAGATCATACCCCAGGACCAGGGACCTCCTCCATTCCCTTCAAGCTGTTGTGGGAGCAGCAGATCTCTGGCTGCATGATATTGTTCCTTTAGTCCCCTGTAGCAACTGCCAGTTCTGCTCTTGGGGCCTAGCCTTAAACCCAGGCTCCCAGCCTCTCCAGCAATCAGGTGACCTCCTGCCTAACATGTGACAGCCTGATTGGATCCGCTCCCACCTGCAGGCTGCTTGCTGCCTGCTCAGACCCCTTAAAGCTGCAGGCACAACCTGTGCTCTGCCACAGGGAGACTTGTCACTATTTTGCTATTACCATGACTACATTTTAGTATATTGCTGCTAAACTGACCAGTTAATAGCCTAGTATCAAAACCCAGCTTTTCAAACATACTAAGATTATTTTCAGGTGTCCTTTAAGGAACATGCAATCTTAGCTAGGCTATTATAAAAGGGATGAAGAAGAATGTCATCCTTCAGAAAGCACTTCATAGAAAAAAATAAACCAAAAAATGTTAAACTGTTAGTACAGTTGTTCTGATGTTTCCAATAAACTGTTATGTATAACATTAAAAGTAAAAAGACTGACAATGCTAAGATGCTAACATCTGTGTTACATTAGTAATTGTTATTCATTACTATAGAAACAGTAATTGGACTTTTATCTAATATCCAGTGCTCTATTATATTAGCTAATTTTCCATCTGATTATATAAAATGAGGTTACCTTTGAAGCAATAACCTGACATTCTGCAGTGACAAGTAAAATATTGCTATAATTGGAAAACATATAGATGTTTAAGGAATACAGAGAATTGCTGAATAAAACTAACACAGATCTATTGCAATGATTTCTCTAAACTAGAGTTCCATTTTTGCTCAAACTGAAACAAAACAATTGAATTGAACCATGAATTTTGTTTCTATTTAATAATGCATCATAATCCTTGTAGATAGGTAGTAAATATTTGTTAAGAGACAGACCCTCTAAATGTTTTTGGACTGTTCTGACACATTAGACAGGGGGTACCATCTTTGTAGCGGCTGTCACTTGAGGGTTAGAAAAGCAGAAATAAGAGAATGAGACAACTTTGTACCATCAGCTGGCAGATGTTGCCAGTTCAGTGGCTAGTGTTGTCTAGGTTCAGTTTATGTGAAGCTTGCAGCGATTTTGCTGAGACACAGTGAATATTACTATGGATTCAGGAGGGAGGGAAGAATTTAAGTAGGAAGGAATGGGATGAAGAATCAGGAAAATATTAAGGACCCAGTTAAAGATGTTGTTCCAGACATTTCAGCACAGCACTCTGGTAGTGTATTATATGATTACTCGAAAGGATTATATCAAAGGTTTCATAAAATGCATTAGTAGGAGGAATGACTTTGGTGTGAGTGTGCACTGATGCGTGAAGCTCAAATAACATATAGGCATGATAAAATTCACTCCATTGCCTACTGACATGCCAACAAATAACGCCAACAAAATGAATTAATAGGGTGTTTAATAAAATAGTATAATAAAATGTTAATAGCAACCATTTCATTATCAAGGAAGCAGCTGAACAGGGGTACAAAACACAATATCTATGCTACATCCTACCCACATGACTTTTCGTCACATCATGCCCATCTTTAGTCCTTCTAGTTACATAGGAGAAAACATGCTAACAAGAAGGAGAGACCAAAACTATCATCAGTTGTTGTGCAATCTCTTAAAATAATAAGCCTCTGAAAAAGTCTACTGTTTTTTTTTCTGTGTTTAGCAGTGAACAGCATATTTTCAGGCCCTGAATGACTGCTGGAGCTGAAGGATGATGGCAGCTCCAGAAGTCCACAATATATATGTCAGAAGTGTAGGTTGGATGGGCACTTAGATTTAAGTCAAATGGAAACAGTTTGCTTTCCCCTCCCTACTGGTCATTTTTATGCCCAACCTTCCATTCCAAATACTGGATTATTTGATAGAATTTTGTTTTTAAATATGTATCCCTTAGTATAGAAATATTTGTCATACCTGTTACTGGTATAGTTCCAAGTATTTGTAAGGGTACCCTCCCTCAAATTCAGATACAAGATATAGGGTTTAATTGTCATGGTGGGTACTGAAAGTTGGAAAGGGTTAGGTGTAAGTTACTGAATGGGGTTATTTATATATTTGTGTACATTTATATATTTGAGCAATGTTTTAAATAAACAAATTGGTAACAAACACATAAAATATAGCAAAAATGTGAAAATATGGCAGTACTAGAAGTGTAGCTCAATTTCAGCAAAGTACACAAATAACACCCACACTTTTGAGAGAAACCCTTTCTTTATAAAACAAAGGATAAAAATAGGAAATGAGGATGGAGATGCTTATTAAAGAGAATATTTTCCGCTATGGACCATTGTATACTAGGAGACCAATAAGGGTCATCTGTTTAGGGTATAGCCAGTAATTTTATGTCATTTAATAAGTGCATTTGCCAAAACTATAATATTCTTGTTTCCATAATAATCTCATGGCCTTTCCAACTACTGTGTGTTGCTGGAACTGCATTACTGGAAACATGCATCATTTTACTGAAAAGCAAAATGCAATTTTTTAAAGCAATAAGTATGGAGCATGCGGTATGCATGTTCTCCTTTAAAATGTGTTTGGTATTCTAGAGGTAACATAAGTGCCATGTGATTTTGCAGTTGCTATGGTAATGAGTAGGCTCTTATTGATCAGCAGAATAAATACTTGTATAAACCTACATAACATGTTGGTCTGTAATACTCCCTTGGGCAGCCTTAAGTTGCCCTTTTTTGTTTTTGTTATTTGTCAATATCCCTTTTTTACAAAAATGCAGTCATATTCCAGTTAGTCACTTCTATTCACTTAGAGGTGGCCATGAAGACAATTTTAAAAGCCTGTACAGGTAGGAACTTGCTTTCAGTGAAATGAAGAGCCTAATGGATCTATCTGTATTAGGTCCCTAGCACATCTTTACTGAAAAGCTCCATGGATATTATCTGCAATCCTGACAACTGTACCTCTTGCCATGGCTGCCACGTGTACATGGTGGGAGTATAATTTTTTAACTGAGTATCAGTTGAGTAGAGTGCCCCAGGAGTCAGTCCTGGGGCCAGTTTTGTTTAATGTCTTCATCAGTGACCTGGAAAATGGCATAGAGTGCACCCTCAGTAAGTTCGCAGATGACACCAAGCTGGGGAGAACAGTAGACAAGCTGGAGGATAAGGCTAGGATTCAGAGGGACCTAGACAAATTGGAGGACTGGGCCAAAAGAAATCTTATGAGTTTCAACAAGGACAAGTGCAAAGTCCTGCACTTAGGATGGAACAATCCCATGCACCTGTACAGGCTGGGGGCTGACTGGCTGGGCAGCAGCTCTGCAGAAAAGGACGTGAGGGTTACAGTGCACAATAAGCTGACAATGAGCCAGCAGTGTGCCCTTGTTGCCAAGAAGGCTAACAGCATACTGGGCTTCATCTGTAGGAGTGTTCCCAGTAGGTCAAGAGAAGTGATTATTCCCCTCTATTCAGCACTGGTGAGGTGACATCTGGAGTACTGTGTAGTGGTGCCCCACTACAGAAAGGATGTAGACAAATTGGAGAGTCCAGCAGAGGGCTACAAAAATGGTGAGGGGTGGGGGGCTGAGGGACAAGACTTACGAAGAAAGACTAAGGGAACTAGGCTTATTTAGTCTAGAGAAGAGGAGACTGAGAGGGGACTTAATAGCAGCCTTCAACTACCTGGGGGGGAGGTTTGAAAGAGGATGGAGCTAAACTTCTCAGCTGTGGCAGATGACAGAACAAGGAGCAACTATCTCAAGTTGCAGCAAGGGAAGTTTAGGTTAGATATTAGGAAGACTTTTCTCACTAGAAGGGTAGTAAAACACTGGAACAGGTTACCCAGAGAGGTGGTGGAATCTCCATCTTTGGAGGCTTTCAAGACCTGCCTAGACAAAGCTGTGGCTGGGATGATCTAG